GGCTGCTCGTGTATGTATATCAAAGTACAGGTTCAGTGCTACGAAATACGAAAAAAGAAGGTGAAGTGTAAGTGAGCGTGTAGGAGTGCCGTGAGAAGAAGGTGGAGGTTGTCTTTCAAGACCCGTGGACGCCGCGGGCCCGAAGACCGAAACGAAGAATCACTTACGGACTCTAATACATTGAAAAGTCAACCGACCACTCTATTTTTTCATTGACGCGTGGTGGCGCGGTGACAACTGTATGAGAACAGCTCTAGATTTACGGAACCTGGTTTACAGCGCACAGGCCCCCTCTGCCGCCTGCTCTAATTCTCTCACCTCGCTTCCTAAATACTGTGTGTTCCTAAGTCTAATAAAATAACACTTGGGAACACATTCAACATTTGTTATATTTTTTGTCACAGATGATAAGAAACGCATGGTGTTAACCACCTTGCAATTTTCACTTTATGAATCCTAATTACTTACAGCTCTCCATTAATATTGAGAGCTTAAATATTATTGTACCCTAAAGCTGCTTCAGGCAGATATGATTTCCAATTCTGAAATTCACAACCAAGATACTGGAGTGTGACGGGTACGTTTATTTAGAACCTTTCAAAATATTTCCCGCCGACCAATTTGTTGTAATAGAAAGAAATGGTGCAGATAATACATTGACAGAGACGGAGGGGCCTACGAGCAGTGCGTCCAGCCAGCCCACCCCCTCCGTTACCCCTCTGTCAAACATGTGCACCACCCCTGGCAACGTGGGCACAGGATTTGGGTATGCCTGGTCCTTTGGAGGACCTGGAGCTGAAACCCGAGAGAATGCACAGGGTGAACTTACTACAAATATTAATTATGCTGTGAATAATAATCAGGACCAAGGATCCAGTCAGAAGATACAAGTTGATATTAAACCTACTAAAGTTGCCAATAGTACGCATCGTAGACCCATGTTCACTATGAATGAAACTTGTCAACAAACCCCAACAACTCATCATACAGCTGGAGCTCATAATCAAACACATGGTACACATGTTCGTACTAAGAAACATCATGATGTGTTTTCATTAACATGTGACAAAGGAGGTTGCAATTGTGATGCATCACACCCTACACCCCCACCTTCTCTTTTTTCGAACACTTTAGTTTTTACTACTGATAAACACGCCATGAGTAAGCATTTCATGACACCACTTGGACCATTACAACTTACGGCAGAAGAGTGCAATGAAATTTTAATGAAAAGAGCAGCAGCTGCTTCAAATCAAGCCAATGTAAACAACGTAGCAACAAGCCAGACAGATAGCACAGCTCATTTTGGACATGTTTTAACACATGTTAATACTACTCAAATTGAAACAAAGGTCAAACAACAAGACATGGGAAGTCAAGTTCGAGTACCAAAAGAAAGACCATATTCTTGTTCAGAATGTGGAAAATCATTTCTTCTGAAACATCACCTTACAACACATGCAAGAGTACATACAGGAGAACGTCCTCATGTTTGTGTTCATTGTGGCAAAAGTTTCGCACACAAACATTGTCTCCATACACACCTGCTCCTTCATAGTGCAGATCGACCCTACCAGTGTAGAGAATGTAAAAAATCTTTTACACTAAAACATCATCTTGTAACGCACACAAGAGTACATACGAGAGAACGACCATTTATTTGTCAAGAGTGTGGAAGAGCATTTCCTCTAAAACGTCATTTAGTGACGCATAGTAAATTCCACTCAGGAGAGAGACCTTTTGTTTGCGAAGAATGTGGAGAATCGTTTTCTCAAAAGGATCACCTTACAATGCATTCGCGCTTCCATGGCAGTTTACATCCATTTGTATGTCATGACTGCGGAGCAACCTTCCAGAGAAAATTTGAATTAGTGAATCATGGTCGTCTACATGGCAGAGTACCCCATTCGTGTACTGTTTGTGGAAAAGAATTTCTTCAAAAGAGAACACTTCTGGCACATATGCGTTTACATACAGGAGAAACTCCATTTGCTTGTACTGTTTGTGGAGAAGCATTTGCCCGGAAGACAGACCTGGTTACCCATTCAAAGATACATAACAATAATACGAATACAGATGAAAAATCTCTTATGTGCAGGTAAGAAATTTCAATTTATGTATTTTTTTTTTTTATATTTTAACTATATGTATGTTTTTGTAATAAAATTTTTGAAATATAAATTATCTATTTATATTAAATCTAATATTCTAGGGAATGTGGATTGGACTTCTCGAATCGAGAAGCTCTTACATTGCACTTAAGGTTACATTCTGGTGATCGTACACTTGTTACGGATCTTTGTGGACTAGCAGCTGCCTTCCAACAAACTCCTGGTCATTTCCTCACACCTAATACCCCTGGAACTCATCAGGTATTATTAATATTAGCATAATATGAAAAGTGTATATTATAATCAGAGAATTTACAGATGAATGGACCCATTGCAAACCCCGGTGTCAGCCATATGCATGGTGCAACGCAAACATCACCACCTGTAGGAACAGGTCCGAAACCAAAACCACATGTATGTCCCGACTGCGGTCGTGGTTTCGCACAGAAACATGGTTTGTCTCAACATCAACGACGCCACACGGATGGTAGCTGTCATATAAGATCACATGTGTGCGATAAATGTGGCAAAGCTTTCTATCAGAAAAATCATTTACTGCTGCATCAACGTCAACATATGGATCCTCCTCCAAGTATACTTCGACAGCAACAAAGGCAAGCTGCTCAAGCTGCTGCTCAACAAGCACAACAACAGCAACAACAACAACAGCAGCAGCAGCAACAACAACAACAACAAGCACAACAACAGGTCCAGCAGCAACAAGTGCAACAACAGGTGCAACAACAACAAGTGCAACAGCAACAAGTGCAACAGGTGCAACAGCAGCAACAACAACAACCTCAACAGCAACAACAAACAACGTGCACTGTAGATACAAAAACGATACAACTTCAAGCGATACAACAAGTGCAACAACAAGTTCAACAACAAGTACAACAGCAGGTACAACAACAACAGCAACAACAACAACAACAACAACAACAAGCGTGCTCTGTGGACACTAAAGCAATACAGTTAAATGTCACTATGTGAGACGATATAGAAAGTGGGGATTGGTCGGTCCCTGGAACAATAGCACTCCCAAATGCGCACCCTGCTGCCACCCTCTGCACGCACTTCTCTTGTACTAACATTACACGTTAGATATATTTATTATCTCTAGAATCGAATACGAAGTAATCAATTTTATTACAAGAGTATATATACAAAGTATACATATTATATTCTAAATATGTAAGGCTTGTAACAAGAAAATAAAAATAACCATATATTAGTGTTTTACATATACTTTATATATCATTTACTCTAGATATGTAAAATGAAACTAAAAAAATTAGT